GATGGGCAGCTGGCGAGCACCTTTGTCCCCGTGTGAACAAGGGGACACAGGCTGTGGGGTCCAGGGAGGGGTTGCTGCACCAGCTCCCGGCAACCGTGGGAGCATTTTGACAGACGGGCCCTCACCATTCTTGCAGTGAGACCGAGGCCTCGGTAATGTGCTGAATGCCTGGGAGGGGCGGGGTGGGCCTCTCCCCAAGTGGAAACCCTACCCACTGAGGTGGGTTTTCTTGATGTGTGACGCAGGACCCGCGCAGCTTCCCGGGTGCCAGCTGCCTGCCAGGAAGGGCGTGGTGGGTGGGCCCGGGGCCAGCGCAGGGGGCGGGTGGCCGCCTCAGCTGTGCCTGAGGGTCGGTGTCTCTTCCAGTCCCTGGTCGACATGGCCCCCAAGTACATCCTGGAGCAGTTTCTGCAGCAGGAGCTGCTCATCAACATCACGGAGCATGAGGTACGGGTGGAGGACGAGACTGGAGACCCGCTTCCTGCCCCCCAGGCCCCTCACCTGTTCGGGGTTGGCGAACATCCAGGTCTTGGGGAGGGGAGTCCGGGAGCCCCTTCATGGTGGAAAGAAGGTGGGCCGGGGTCTCAGTGTGTGGCCCTTGGGCCAGGAGCAGCTGGGGCCTTGCTAGGAGGGCAGGTTCCCAGGCCCACCCAGCCTGCAGAGTCAGGAGCTTGGGATGGGTGGAATCTGCATGTCCCCAGGAGCCTCGGAGCTCCGGGATTGTGCCCTGCGGCCCATCTGCACGGCTAGGGGTGTAGGCTCCAGGACCCCCGTCACAGTGTGGAGTCAGGACTTGTGCAGATGCCTGGGGCCCCCACGTTGCACCCCTCCTCTGGAGGGCCTGTGGGGTCTGTCGCAGCCCTGTGGAGACCCAGGTTCTCTTCTCACAGCTGGTCCCAGAGCACGTTGTCATGACCAAGGAGGAGGTGACGGAGTTGCTGGCCCGGTAGTATCCTTTCTGGCCCCCGGCCGGGCCCGGCTCCTCTCCCCTACAGCTCTTCCCACAACACCCCCAGTCAGTCCAGCAAGGCCTTTTCCCTGACCTGCTTCTCAGTAAACTCCGAGAGAACCAGCTGCCCAGGATCCAGGCAGGAGACCCCGTGGCTCGTTACTTTGGGATAAAGCGAGGGCAGGTGAGAAGCCCCTCCCAGGGAGGAGCTGGGCCCACCTCCAGCCCCCTTCAGAGCCCAGGCTTCTGAGCAGGGCAGGAGGGACCCCGGGTCCTGGGAGCCAGCCCACCTGCTTTCCTGCCTCTGCAGGTGGTGAAGATCATCCGGCCCAGCGAGACTGCAGGCAGGTACATCACCTACCGGCTGGTGCAGTAGCGGCCCGACAGACAGATGAGGCGAGAGGGCGCCGAGGGCCGGGTGTGGGCGGCCGTCCCAGCCCTGTGAGTGAGCCCCGCCTATTACGTGCTCTGGAGGGAGCTCACATCCAGCCTGTGCGCCCAGCTCATGCGACAGACAGGTCACACTGCTGGCTGCCCCCCCTCTCTCGGCAAGTCCCCCGGGGGATGGAAAGATGGGCTGTGACGACCCACCAGGCTGGGAGTGTGGTGGCCGGCTGTCCAGGGGAGTCCGCTCCTCCTGGGAACCTTGCCTCTGCTCCCCTGGGCCGCAGGGTGGCCCGCCTTGGGCCTGCCTTTCCTGGCCTGAGGGTCCCCGTGGCCTCTCCTGGGCTCCTGGACGCTGAGCCCCACCCTGGATCCCACCTGATGGTGCTTTGGGAGGGGACAGGATACCGCAGGGTGGCCCCGAGCTCCTCCCGGGCTTCTGTCGCCGTGTCCCCCACACAGCGGCCCCGATGCTGCTTGTCTGGGTGCTCCAAGGGCAGCGGGGAGTGAGACCGATTGCTACGGAATGCTGGGTATCTTAACGAATTAAAAATATCTTGAGTAAATAAGTTCACTTGTCTGAAAGACCAAGGTGGAATGTCTACCCGGTTTGCTGTGAGCAGCCTTGCTCGGGCTTCTGTCCCCTCAGCGGGGTCTTGGCCCACTTCCCCCTGGTGGAGCTGTGAGGGAGGGGCTCCAGTGCCGCCTTCAGCTTTGCTTCTTGGTGCTTTTCTTGCATAGAAGTTTGGGATCAAACTACCCCCTTTTCCCTCTACTAATTTCAGAGGCCTCCTACCCAGGCTAAGCGCAGTTCTGTGGTTTTGTTTAATAGCTTCATTGAAGTAGGATTTATATACCATACAGTTCACCCATTTAGAGTGTATGGTGCCATGATTCTTAGTATATGCACAATCGGGCACCCATCACCACAGTCAGTTTTGGAACATTCCACCCTCCTAAAAAGAAACCCTGTCCCTGTCAGCAGTCACCGCCCCCCTGCCCCCAGCCGCTGACAGCCACGAATCTGTGTCTGTGGATCTGCCTGTTCTGGACATTTCCCGTCAGTGGAATCACACACCGTGGGTCCTTCTGTGTCTGGCTTCTTTTATGGAGCATCGTGTTCTCACGGTTTGTCCACGTTGTAGGAGTGTCAGGGCTTCACCCCTTTTCACGGCCGAGTGATGTTCCCGTGTGTGGAGGGACACGTGTTCATTCTTCAGTTGATGGACCGTTTCCATTTTTTGGCGACTGTGCGTCATGTTGCTGTGGGCATCCAGGTGCGAGGTGGTGTGGTTGTATTTATTTCTCTGGCTGTGGGTGTGCCTCGGAGTAGAATTGCTGGGTCCTGCAGAAGCTCTTGTTTCCTTTGGAGAGACAGGCTGTCTCCGCCGCGGCTGCCCCGGTTCCTGTTCGCGTCTCCACCTCCTCACCAAATCGCGGCGGGGGGTGAGTCGCTGTGGTTCAGATTCACTTGTCTGATGCTGAGGGTGGTGAGCACCTTTCCCTGGCTCGCCGGCCACCCGGCGGTCATCTCGGAGACGTGTCTGTGCACAGGTCCTTTGCCCCTTGTTTAACTGGGTTGTCTCTGCCGAGTTTTAGGGGTTCTTTATATATTCTAGGCTCAGGTGTCTTATTAGATATACGCTTTACAAAAATGTTTTCCCACCTTTTGTATTTCTTAGCTAGCCCCTTGTAGCCTTTATACATAAGACTCGAATCCTGGGATTTACTTCTGGGCATCATATGACTTGGGGCTGTCACTCTCCCCCAGACAGCGGTCTCGATGCTGTTTGGTGAAGAAGCAAAGGTGCTCTCCTCACTGCCTTGAGTTGCCACCCTCGTAGTGAACGCACAGATTCATGTGGGTCTGTGTTGAGATCCTCTTCTTTTCCATTGATGAATTTAGGTTTTAAAATCTTAGTTTTATACTACATCTGATAGGAGAACAGGTCTCCCCTTTCCCCCAGATAGACATATATCGTTTTCCAAAACGATCTTGGCCAAAAGGAGCCAGACACGGACGGATGAATCCTGTCCGATTCCACTCACAGGGGTCCCTAAAGGAATCAGGTCCGCAGAGACAGGAAGCAGGTGGAGGGGGAGGGGATGGGGAGTCAGGGTTTCACGGGGACACAGTCTCCCTTTGGGAAGATGAGAAAGTTCTGGAGATGATGGTGAAGATGGTTGCACGACAATGTGAAGTTGCTTAGTGCCTGTGAACTGTGAGGTTTAAAGTGGCAAAAATGGTAAATATGTATAATTTACAGTTTTAAAAAATTGTCTTGGCTGTTCTTGAGTATTGATTCTTGCAAATGAATTGTAGAATCAACTCACTGATTCCCTGAAAATGCTTTCTGCTCCTGGTTAGGGTGCTTGTTCTCCCAGCTGGGCACAGACCTGTCCCCGGGTGCGGGGTCTCAGGTGCGAGGTGTGGATGCCCCTTACGTCCTTCATCCAGTGGCACCAGCTCCCCTTTGGGGTCCCCTGCTTGTTGCTGGGGCACCAGTTCTGCCTGCCTGCGCCACCACGCACAGCCTGTTCTGAGTCCCTGAGATTGGTCCTGACACCTGCCTGCCTCGGGGCTTCAGGAAGTGGGCCCCCCCGGGTCTGGAGGCAGGGGCTGGCTTTCACGCAGCACCCCCAGTCCCCCACTCCGGCCACCAGGACATGTTGTGAGCCTGGGCCAGCCTTGTCTGAAGGTGGCGCAACCTGTGAAGTTGTGTGGCACGATCCGCCAGGCTCTTTAGAGATGCTTTGGCACCTGACAGTGGGGCGCTTTCTTGCCGTTACCTGTCTTGCTGAGCACTCTGAAATGTTAATATTTGCTCATTCTTCTGAGCATTTTTTTAAAAAACATAGATCAGGGTCAGCAAAGTTTTGCTGTAAAGGGCCAGACGGTCAATATGTTGGCTTTGCTGGCCAGGTGGCCCTGCTACGGTTGCTCAGCTCTACAGGGCAGAAGTGGCCACAGGCCACATGTAACCGAGAGGGTGTGCCCCCACCCCACCCCCCCCACCCTCCCGGCCCATTATCTCTGTTTGCAAAACACATTGGTAGTTTGCTGGCTGCTTCCCCCCCCCCCCCACCCGCCGCTCACTCTTAGGAAGCGTGTGCAGGGGCAAAGCGCCCTGACTGCCACAGTGGGTCTTATCTAAGCCTGGGTGGGGGACTGAAGTTTGGGGTGAGCTGTTCTGTATCAGGAATGGAGGCCCAGCAGCTTTTACCATGACTGGGTGTGAATTCCATCTAATTCCTCAAACGAATAGTTGTGTCTCTGCTGAGCTGGCCCCAGCCCTCTGGGATAAACCCGACTGGGGCCTCTGAGCTGGGTGAGGGGTGTTCGCCTCTTCCTCGCTGTGCCGTTCCACGCGGTGGCCGCTGTCTTCCAGAGGCCTTTGGTGCAAGTAGATTTCAGCTGCGGCTCCTCAGCACAGCAGCCACACCTCAGTGCTCGGGAGCCACCGGGGGCTGGCGGCCCGAGTCAGGAGTCAATGGGAATTGGGCCCCATGGCCACCTGGGCTCCCGCGCCCGACGGGGCTGCCTTGTGGTGGAATTTCTTTTTCACAGCTCCCTGCCCTGCCCCTCAAGCCCAGCGAGGAGCTGGGGATGGCGCTTAGTGCCCTGTGTGTCTGGGTCGCTAGGCCACTGCTGCCAGAGAAGACAGGCTGAGGTTAAAGACTTTATTTTATGCAAAAGGAATGTGCCTGTCAAAGAACTCCATCGTGGAACTTCACTGCATCCTCAGCCCCAGGTATCCAAACCCAGTTTTCCGTAAAAGCCAGGGCATCCCAAGGCTGCCTGCCCACCATCCACTAAGGCGTCCAGCCCTCCTCCCAGCTGCCGTGCGGCCTCCACGGCCCAGCGCCAGGGTGGGCAGGGTCCCTCCATCACAGCCGGGGCGACTCCAAGAGCAGAATCCCCCAGCTCAGAGGAGTGGGGCCTGGTGGGCGTGCGGAGCAGCGCGGGCAGAAGCTTCTGGAAAAGTTGGCCAGTGATGCCCTCGCCGCTGTGGGCGGAAGGAGAGGCCTCTCGGTGACATGTCCACAGGGACAGGAGCCTGGAGCAGACCTGCCCGCTGCCCCAGCTACACGAACTCTGGCCGCCTCTCCCAGCCCACGCCCCCTGCCAGCCGCCCGCCACGGAGCCTCACGGCTGGCAGACGGGCCACAGCCACGTTGTTGCACTGGTTGGTATTGTGCTCGGCGAGCCGCTGGGCCGGCTCCTCCCCGAGGTCCTCCCAGACCCCAGGCCCGGGCCCATCCTCCTCCTCCCCGGTAGCAGTGCCCAGCTGCTCCTCACTGCCACTGCGGCTGTCCCGGCCGCCCTCCACGCCGCCCAACTTCTCCAGGAAGCCAAGGCGGTGCAGGGCCGCCCCACCCGCCAGGGATGGCAGGTCCGAGGCCTCCTCCAGTTCTGAGTCGGAGTCATTGGAGGCAATGTGGGGTTCTGGAAAGTCCAAGGGAGAGAGACAGGGACAGAGAGAGAGGGACAGATGGACAGCCTGTGAGCAGGGTGGGGGGCACTGGGTGGAGGACTGGGCGTCCGCCTCCCCCCAGCAGGCCCGGCTCCCCCTTTAGAACCCTCCCGGGTCAGGCGGAGGTGCAGGGTCTCAGACACTGGGTTCGTTTCCACTTCGGGGTGCCCATTTCTCGGCGTTGGAAAAAACACCTCGAAAGGGTGTCTCTTTGCAAGAGTTTGTAACACGTTAAAGACAGTGAAAAAGCAGGTGACACTCATGGTCTCCATGGGAGACAAACCGGGATGCAGCCCTTGAGGTGGACCCACTGTGTCATCCGCTGCCTGGGCCCACTACTCACCAAGGCCCCCATCCTCAGCCTCCTCCGGCAGGGGTGAGGCCATGCCCCCGCTGGCCTCCGGATACGGCTCCTGGACCACCACCTCGGCCCCCTGGTTGGACGTCACATCCTGCAGAGGCGGAATAGAGGTCAGGGAGCGCCACAGTTCTGGCCACATTCCATTTTTCTGTCTTGTTAAACCCTAAAAACTTAACACCCGCTGCAGCTGAGCACGTGAGGCCCCCAGATCCCAAGTCACGAGCAGGCTGAGCTCGTCCAAAGCGGGCAGAGGCCCTGGCCTGAACGGCTGAGGCAGGCCCTGCATGGACTCCAGCGAGGGAGCCACTGTCCTGAGGCCACACCCAGGCGTGTCACCTCCACAGCCAGAGATGCCAGATGAGGGGTTAAAGACGCACAGTGGGGACTGAGCGTGGGAGCTGGTGCTGCCTGGAAGCGAACAGAAACAAGGCCTGTCGGCTGAGGAGAGCAGCAGGCTGGACCCAGAGCAGGTGCTGTAGGCGGCACAGAGATGGGAAATGGGAGAAGGGGCAGGACGGCGGGTCTAGTGCGTTCTGATGTGAGCTCCAGGGGACGTGGGGGAAGGCCGAAGGGCCTCTCCACTGCCTGGGGCTCCATCCACAGATCTGAACCCACACTTCATCCAGTTCTTTACTCAAAAGATGCCTTGGGTGCCCCTGACGGGGCTCTGGCCGCGTCCGAGCCAGACATCTCCCAGCCCTTCTTTCTGTCTAATCCTGCTGTGGGTGAGTGAGATTCCCGGCCCCCATGATGTTCACAGAGCCCTACACCCCCCGCCCAGGGTGGACAACCCTCACCTGGCACCCAGATGCCACCTCGGGCTCCTCCTCAAAGACCAGGCTGTAGTGGGTGATGAGCGTCTCCAAGATGCAGGCCTGGTGTGGGTAGTCCACCAGGGAGGAGAGGGACACGGTGGCCTCAGTGGGCCGGGGCCGCAGCAGCGTGGGCCCAAACACAATGCCCAGGTTCCCCGGTGTCATCTTGTTGTCCTGCTCCACCTCCACGATCCTGGGGGTCAGAGGATGCAGGAGCAGGTGTGAGCGGCTCCCGGGACCCTGCCGCCCTTGACCCCGGCCTGGCCAGCCCTCACCTGCGCAGGTGCCGCATCAGGTACTGCAGCGTGGCCCAGTTCTCTGGCGGCAGGTCCCGCAGGAGCTCCCGCAGCCGGCCCGCCATGGCCACGGCCACAGCCTCTCTCTCGGTGACATCCGGCCGGCCTCGGGTTGCCGCCTTGGCCTCGGCCTCTGCCTTCAGACTGTCCTTGGCCAGCCCCACAAGCTCATGGTAGAGGCGGAAGGAGATGAGTGGCTCAGGCAGCTGCAGGGTGATGGTTAGGTGTGGGGGTCAGTGGGCCTGGCCCCACGCCATCCATCCTGCACTGTCCCCGCCCCTAGTAGCAGCCCCGCCCCTGACAGCCACCGGTCCCGCCCACCCTGTACTGACCACGCCCCTGGCCTAGCAACCACAACCCTGCTTAGAGCTGGCCACGCCCCCCACCAAGCTCAGGTCCAGCCCAGGATCTGCTCTGCTCTGTCCCCATCTGTCTCACCTGGCGCAGGTAGAGCTTGAGGACGTTGCTGATGTCGTGGGGCGAGGCCTGCGACAGCTCCACCAGCTCTTTGCCGTTCTCGAAGGCCTGGCACAGCTTCTCCACACGTGTTTTCACCCCATTGACCCGGTAGATGCCCTGTGGGAGCCCGCAGTCAGTCTGGGCCCACGCCCCTCCCCTCCCTGCATGGCCCCTCGGCTGGAGCCCCCGCAGCTGTGCCCGCGGCGGTCACCTTGGTGCGCAGCGCCCGCTGCTCGATCTCGAAGACACACTTCTTGACGATGAAGGGCACACCGTCCGGGGTGCTGCGGGCGGCCTGGCTGAAGTCCTGGCCAAAGAGCTGCAGGCGGCCTTGCAGCTTCTTGTGGCCACACTGGATGGCCAGGGTCTCCAGGCACTTCTTGTGGCAGGCCAGGCAGCACTGGGGGCAGGCAAGGAGTGAGCAGACCTTCCTGGTGCCCCAGCTCCGCACAGGTCGCGGCTCCCCCTTCCACCGCGACCCCCGCCGCTCTCATCACCCCCCTACAGGGCAGCTTTCACCCCTTCTGGTTGGGAGACGTGCCCCTGCCACCAGTGCAGCCTGGGCTGCTCCCACGGCCCTCTGGTTCCCTCAGCACTGGCTGAGCCCAGGAGACTGCAAGTGCTCCTGGCTTCACTTCCCTCCAGCGCTCTGCATGGCACCGTCCTGAGGGCGCACATGCAGGTGCCTGGCTCCCCCGGGACTGCCACTCACCTCCTCACACTCGGCGCCCTGGAAGTACACGTAGCTGTTGCACTCCCGGCACTTGGCCGGCGAGCGGAGCTTCCGGAGCCGGTGGGTACGGGCCGCCTTGGACAGCCCCACATGGCGGAAGGGCCCGCTGGGCATGGCCACAGGCAGCTCCGGGGCCATGCCATTGAGATCATCTGGTGGGGGTGGGGGGCAGGTGGTCAGTGTTACCGAGGCAGGTCAGGGCCAGGCGCACAGAGAGAGTCCAAACCCCCCTCTCCCCGCTGCCCCGCCCAGGGGTCCCCTCACCCTGGTCAAAGGCTGATGCGCCTGTGCTGCTCTCCTGGTCGGCCAGCTCCTCGCTGGACGACATGGTGCCACTGGAAGACATGCGCTCGAACTTCTTAAAGTCCCCTGAGCAGGAAACGGGTTGTCAGAGACTCCCCCAAAGGCCCCCGGCTGGACAGTGAGCCCGCTGAAACCTGGGGGCGGGGGCGGCAGCTCTGTGAGCCCCCCACCCCCCCACCTGCCGGCCAGGCCCCTTCACCTGAGCCAGGGCTGGGGTCCAGACTGGCGTCAGAGTCTGAGATGGCGATCGGCCACGACTTGTGCACCTGGTGTCCGCGCCCACCTGCCAAGTTGTCCCCAGTGAAGGGCTGAAGGGGGCTGCAGGGGGGCTGCAGGGGGCCCGCGCCCGCCCCCGCCCCTGCCGGACACTCACCCCTGCGCTCCTTGGCAAGCTCCCCGTCGCCGGGCCCACCTTCCTCTGGGGGGCAGGCCGCGGCCTCCGCCACCGCAGCATCGCTGACGTTAAAGCTGCTCTTTCGGGCGCGCAAGACCGGGGACCTGGTGGGACCAATAGCCAAAATAAGGGGCCACGATGGGGGTCACTGAGGCTCACTGCCCCCTCCCCCACCTCAGGAGGGAAGTCCGGCTCCCCCGGGCATGCGCAGACGGCAGGGTACCAGGCGTTGGCGGAGACGTGGGGCTCAAAGTCGTAGTGCACGTCTGGCTCCTCGCCGCGCTGCAGCTGGCGCACGTGGGAGGCGTACTGCTGGCCTGGGTCGTACAGCTTGCTGCTCTCGCACAGCATGTGGAAGTGCACAGGCAGCGGGGCCGTCTGCATGTGCATCATCTGGTAATAGGAGATGGTGGCCTACGGGCAGGCAGGTGGGAGGGGCCCTAAGTGCTGGAGGTCCTGAGGCTGGACGGGCAGCGGCGGGGGCTGGGGGTGGGAGCACGGTGCTCACCGACTTGATGGTCTGGTCGCTCTGCCGGATGACCTCCTGGATCTGCCGGAGTGCTGTCACCTTGGTGTCCTCAAGCTCCTGCTTCTGCGTCTTAGCGTCCGCCACGCACGTGCGGTATGTGGCCATGGCTTCCTCCGCCTGGGGTGGGGGTGGGGGCGGGGCGGGGTGCCCAGAGAGGCCTCAGCCTGGGGTTCAGCCCTCAGGGCATCTTCAGGCCCCACACGGAAATCAGCCAGGCACAAAAGGACAGGAGGGCATTCCTGGCAGGAGGCATAGCCCAGACAAAGGCCCGGCAGTGGGCAATCCTGCACAGGTCAGGCCCTGACACCATGGGTCTTGTCCCGCACCTCCTGCCCCCTGACCCGCCCTCACCTTGTTTTTGGCCTCCTCCTCCAGGCGCCGCCTCTTGTCCAGGGTCTTGGAGGCCACGCCCCCTGCACCCGGGCCAGCGCCCACCTGCTCTTCCTCCGCCTTGGCCACTAGGAAGCGGGCCTTGTCGTGGTCTTCGCAGCGCTGAACGTAGCCCTGCTTGGCCTTGCGCAGATTGGACTCTGCTTCTTGCTGTGGACATGGGAAGGACCAGACCAGCACCATCAGCCAGAGACCGTGTTAGGGACCTCTGCCACCCCCATCCCTTGGGCCAGAATCCCATGGCCAGTCAAGCAAACAGAGGCCCCCGCCCAAGAACCAGTGGTGGAAGGACAGGAGGTGACACCTACAGGGCGACCCAGGGAGGAGCCAGTATCTGGCATGCCCATTTCACAGCCAGGGAAGCTGAGGCACAGCTAAGCTCTGAAGGAGACACCAACTACATCATCCTCTTGACACCTACACCCACACCTGCCAGAGCGACTTGTGCTTCTATCTCTTTCATTTCCTGTCTCAGAGATGAGAACAGTGAGGCTGCTCAGACAGGAAGTCAGGCACCCTCAGGGTTGGCAGGAAGAGCACTTAGTCAAAACCCAGTGGGCCTTCTGGGGGCCACACCTCACAGTCTACACGATCAGAAGCTTAAACATAAAGAAAAGAGCTCACATGAGTACTAGGAGAAACCATGAGAGAATTTCTTAAACATAGCATGGGGAAGGCCTTTCCATACGTGACACAGAACCCAGAAACCATAAAAGACTGCTACTAACAATCATGGGTTTCAACTGGGAAAACAGGCAACAGGTTAAATCAAAAGTCAAAACAATAAACTGGGGGCGGGGGAGTTTGTAACACATGTCATCAAGGGCTGGATTCTCTAACATGTAAAGAGCTCTGGCAAGTCAATAAGAAACAGGCTACTGTCCAATCCAAGGTGAGCAAAGGATATGAACTTAGAGCTCACAGAAGAGGAAAAGCATGGCTGTGGCTCAGGAGGTCAGCTTCTATGCTCATGACATCTGTGACCCAGCCATTACCTTTCGGGCACTGATCTGAGATAAATGCTAGGTCACATGTCTGAGAACAGGGGCACAAGCTCGTCACAGCAGTGGTGTTTGAAACAGCAACAGCTCAACAACAACTAAACTGTTCATCAAGAGGGATTTAGTGAACTAAGCCCTGTGGCTCTGCAGCTGAGCACTTGTAGCTGAGAAAAAGGGAGGAGTTTCACATGGAGTGAGATGGGGCCAGTCCCTGGATATGGAGGTGAGTGTAAAAGGCCAGAAGCAGAACAGGGTACTCGGCAAGCTGTCATCAGGTGTAGAAAAGGGGGGAGAGGCTCATTTGCCAGATATGCCACAGGACACCACTAGCTGGAGCAGGGGCCGTGGGGGCTCTTTGCACTGCAGACCCTGTTAGCAGGCCTAAAGAGCAGTGCAAAAGATTGCTAGTGCCTTTGGAACAGCCCAAAAGAGAGGTGGGAAAAGAGCAACACAGAGGAACCTGGAGCACCCACCAGACCTGAGAGCCTCAGTTTCCCTCTAACCCAGGCCTGCTCCTGGCGGCCACGGGTGACCCGGTCCCTCCGGACATCTGACCCGTCACAGTGATGGGGGCCCCGGGCCAGGGCCTCTCCTGCTGCAGCTGCAGGTAATGGGGCTGGAGCAGTTGGGAGGCAGGACCCGCTCCAACCTGTGACGCCACAGCGAGCCCCACGCGGGCACAGGGCACTCTGCCAGGTGTCCGCAAAACTCGGGAAAGGACCACCCGGGAGTGCACCAGGGGACTGCGCATGCGCGAGCCGGCCCGCCCTGCCCCCTCCCAGCCCTGCCGCCCCGCGGTACCAGCTTCCTCTGGGCGCGGTGCCAAGACTCCTTGATCTCCTTCCTGCGCTTCTCGTGCTCGAGCCGCCGCAGGTTCAGGGGCTGGGGGTGGGGAGACGGGTGTGATGGAGACCCGGGCACCCTTCACCCCACCCACCCTCCAGGGCGAAGCCTACCTGCACGAAGGTCTGGGTCTGCAGAGTGCCCACCGCCTGTACCAGGCCGTGGCCGAACTCCAGGTCCTGCTCCAGGGCCAGCGAGTAGATGGACAGGAGGGGCATGTGCGGCTGTGGGGGCGGGGCCGGCAGTCACGGGGGTGGGACAGGCGCCCTCGTGGAAGCCCTGCCGCCTCCCCAGCGCCCTCAGCTGCCCTTGCAGAGATGGGAAACCCCTTGCCTTTGGCCCATCTTTGAGGGGCGAAACACACCCAGGCCTGAGGGGCCCCGCCCCGTTCCCCCGAGTTCCCCACCTCCTGCATGACGCTCTGTCTGCAGTTCTGGACGATCTTCTGCAGGCCTTTGGCAAAGTCCATCTCTGCAGGCGGGGAGGGATGTGAGCGCAGGGGTGAGGTGAGGGGAGGGGTGTGAGCGCAGGGGTGAGGGGAGGGGCCTTCCAGCCAGACCCCGCCCCGCGGGCCCCAGCTCGCACCCAGCGCGTTCCTCTTCTCCAGGTAGCCGATGAGGTCCTTCATGTACTTGGCCATGTTCTTGGCGTACTGCAGCGCGGCGTGCACACCCCCCTCACAGCGCTGCAGCAGCGTGTCCACCGCCTCCGGGGAGAGGCAGCCTGCGGGACAGACACCTCTCAGCCCGGGCTCCTCCCCAGCCCACCATTCCTTCCGTCCTCAGCCCTCCACTCCTAGGCTCAGAGACTCACCCTCATCACAGTCCTCACTGCTGAGGGGGGCACCCTCACTCCCCTGTCCATACAGGTTCTCCATTGACTGTACCAGAGGGAGACAGGTGAGTCCAGTCCGGGCTGGGTACTGTTTGATGCCCACCCTGCAGGAGACAGTCACCGCCCCCCCCCCCGGACAGAGCGGGAGACCACGGTCCACAGAGCGGGCAGGGGGTACTCATCCGCCCTGCCAGCCTGACCCCGTGCAGCACCCAGGCCATCCCTGCTCACCTGGCCCGGGTCCCCACGGGGCACTGAGAGGAGGATGCTGCTGTCCACTTCACCCATGAGGAACTCGGACACACTGCAGGGCAGGGGGCAAGTGTCAAGAGGCACATGGGTCCCCACCCTCTGCCACCCTTCCCCACCCCCACACTCACGTGCTGCTGAAGGAGACTGCGATGGTCTCCAAGGCCTTCTCAAACTCCTGCTTGTCCGAATCATTGTTGCACTCATAATGGAAGGCTGGGGACAGACAAGGACGAGAGGGGTTGGCCCAGTCTGGGAGGTGACCACCTGTGCAACTAACTGAAGGGGGAGCATTGGAGTTGTCGTGCCCATCAAACTCCTGTGCATCCTTCAAAACCCACTTCAAACGTCCCCTCCTTCAGGAAGCCTGCCCAGACAGAAAGCCCTTGCTGCCCTGTCCTGGCTGACCTTTGACCTTGGCAATGAGGGTGCCGGCAGCTGTGAGCGACTCCACGGTGTTCAGCAGTGGGTACTTGGAGATGACCTGGTGCATCACGCGGAGGGCCTCACCCAGGCACTCATGGGCAAGCGGCCGGCGGGCCTCTAGGAGGTCTGCCGGGCAGAGGGGGTATGAGCAGGGAGGGAAGGAAAGCCTGCCCACCTAACCACCTAACCCTAACCCTCGTCAGAACTCCTGTCCCCGGGTGGGGAAATTGAGGCCAAGGTGGGAAAAGATAACTGCCTGAGGCTCAGTGTGTGACCTCATTGGGAGGTGTGTGTGTGTGTGTGAGGAACTGTCCCTCTCTCGACTGCTGGCCAGGTCATCAAAGGTCAGATGTCAGTCTAGGCAGTCCTGCTCAGAACACCCTTTCCTCGTCCCTCCAGAAAACAAACTCCCAGTGACCTTCAAGTTGCAGTCCTGGTGCCTCTTCCTCCAGGCAACCCACCTGGCCCCTTCCCTGCCCCAAACTCTCAGGGCTCTGTCCAGCTCTCTCCCAGCCCTGCCTGCCTGGGCACTGGGGCTTAAACACCCCGTTACCTCACTCTCTCCTGACCAGCCACCCCATGAGGCAGGTGCTGTCATCACCCCCATTTTGCAGATGAGGAAACTGAGGCATACAGGGGAGAAGTCATTTCTCAAGGATCACGCAGCTTTTCCATCTCCACTAGCTTTGAAGGCATGAGAATGCCAGGCAGAAGGACCCTGCCTGGCTTTACCATAAGGGCAATGGGGAGCCACAGAAGGTGTTAGGGCAAAGGAGAGTCAAGATCAGATCTGCATCTTCAAACATGGCTTTAAATGCCCTCCTCAGATGTTCTTAATTGGAAAAAAGCGCTGTGTGTGGGCAGAACACGCACCATCTAGTGGAAACAAAGCCGAAGGAACGTATGGATGGGGAAGGAATGAGCCGACCCTGAGACCCAGGAGAGACCTGGCCACCAGCTGGGAGTATATCTCCCTCACCTGTGTGCCTCTGACTCTGTGCCTGGAACCTGATGCTCAAAAAAATAATAATAATATTTTAAATTTTAAAAATGGAATCTGAAAATAGGTGTCTGATCCCTTTTCAGCACTGAGGACCCCCAATGAATGCCACCGACAGGGAGACCCCCACGGAGTCCCTGGCCCCAAATTCCTCCGAGTGCAGCCCAGTGCCTCAGCACCAGGCAGGATTTTGAATCGGAGGCCAACTCAGGGAGGTGGGAAGGAGCTTACGGAATCCATAAAAGGCCGGCTGAGGAAAGGCCGGGCCACGCCCCTTCCCGGGACATTCCTCCCACACACCAGGCCCCTCATGTTGCCTGGGCCTCGGCCCCCTGGGTCCCCGCAGCACACTCACCTGGGCAGGTGGGACTGTGGAGAAGCCTGGACATGCCCAGTTCAGCATTGGCCAAGGCAAGCGCCGGGCAGCAAATGCCCCGAGTGCCACGTGCTCCTGGCCAGGCCCTGCACCCCGCACCCCGCACGGTCCCCTCACCTCGGGGCCCCGCCTGGCAGCGCACCGGCGCCTGCTCCAGCGCCGGGTGCACTGTCCCGCAGATACACATGGCGCAGCCGTCAGGGCGCAGGGACCGTGAATGCGCAGGCCGGGCTAGGCAACTGGCTGGTCCGGGGTCTTTGGTGCCAGGTCCTCTGCAAGCAAACCGGCTCTGGCCGGTCCGAAGACCCGTCCCCCTCTGAGGAAAGCTCCGCCCCGGCGTCCTGCTAGCTCCCCAGTCTCAGGTAGCAGGAGCCTGGGACCCAGGGAGATGCAATTTGATTCGGGATGGGACCGGCCAAGGGCAGGCAGGGAAACAGGCCCAGGTACAGGGCGTGGGGAGGCGTGGGGAGGTGTGGGGAGACCCCGCCCACCTGGATCCCGCCGCCCACTGCTTCCTAGGTAGACAGCACGGGGTCCCCAAGCCCTCTCACTGTCCCCACAACAATTACTGTGAGCTGAGGACATCTGGTTACAGTCAGCAACTCCCCAGGGCGTATCATTGCCCCGTTTCACAGATGAAATGCCAGAGGCTTAGAGAAGGGACAGCTGATCCAGTCTCACAGCCTGGCAGCGGCAGCAGCAGGATGCAAACCCACATGCTCTCTGCTCCAGACCCTTCCCCTGGCCCAGGGCTGCCCCAACACTCAAAGAAGGGTGCCCCTGCCCTGGCCCATCCTCCTGCACGACGCCCACTGGCTCAACCCTGCCCAGGCCTGGCCTCCAAGGAAGCACCAGGATCGGAAAGGAACCGAGATTAGAGTTTCCCCAGGAAACAACTCCAGCCCCACCCCAGGACCGGATAGTCCTGGGGGCTGATACCCCCCGACCCAGCAGAGGCCCGGCCAGCAGAGCCCATTAGCTCCTACAAAGCTGAGGTCTCTCCAGTCTGAGGTCGAATCCAGGCTCTGGCCCCTCCTTGGCTGGTTGAGCCAGGAGTCAGGGCCCCTCTCTGGGCCTCAGTTTCCTCATCTGTAAAATGGGCACCTGTGGGGAGCAGGCCAGAGTGTTTAGCATGGCCCTGGCACTGCGGTTTCTGGCAGGAGAGATCATAGTGCCCTCCTTGGCGGCCAAAGACAAACAGGAAGCAGATGAAAATAACTCGGCAGGAAGCTGGGCTGTCAGCAGACGCGTGGAGAAAACGGAACTGCCATCCCACAGGCCGCTCACTCTTGCAGCTTACGTGCCGGTCCTGCCCCTTGTCCGTCCTGAATCTCTCTCTGTCCAGACCTCAGCCTGCCTCCAGTCCATTCCAGTCCAACATGCAGATCTGACCTTGTTCCACCTCTGCTCTAACACCTTCTACGGCTCCCCACCACCCTCAGGATAACATCCAGGATCCCTCTGCTTGCCATTCTCAATGCCTCCACCCTCACACATTTCATACACCCGAAACTTGTTCCCCCAAATGCACCTCCACTCCATGTTTCTGAGCCTGTGCACATGACATTCCCTCTTCCTGGTTGCTGCCAAACTCCTATACATCCCTTAGAACCCTAACTGCAATGACTTTTTCCATGAAGCCCTCCCTACAACCCTCTTTGGAGCCTCCCCAAATCCCTCCCTCCATCCTGCCTCAACCCCACAGGGTTTGGGATATCTGTGTCCAACTGCCTTCCACCCAGGCCACGGTGTCCCTGCCACTTCTCACCTTCACGCAGAACACACTCCTTCAGCTTCTCAAGGCCCTCGGCAAAGCGGGCCACGTCAGCCAGCAGGTGGGAGATGTCCTCCACAGTGTCGGGGCAGGGTCCCTGGATGGGTCCCTCGGCTGGGCTGGCTGTTGACAGTGGGCTGCGGTGGCCACGGCCCAGCGTCCAGGTGCTGGCTCCGGACAGTGGGAAGCCGGCAGCGCTGGCATGGCGGCTTAGGCTGGTGGGCCTCTTGAGTGTGCCTGTGGCCTTGGCATTCAAGGCCACACTTGGTGGTTCCAGGCTGGGCGCCAGGGACACTGCATCAGCCCCATCTCTCCTGGGCAGCTCCTGGGAGGGTGGGGGGAGCCACTAGAGCAGGTGCCCCCACTGGGCCCTGCCTCAGTTTTCCCAGAAGTGAAGTGGGGCTCTGGAGGGCCTTCAGCCTGACCCCACAGGGGGTCAAAGGCCACAGGTCAGAGGGCTGAGATTTGGTGTTGTGCCCCTCCCGCACCTGTTACCCAACATCCTCTTCCCCAGAGCTTTCACAAACAACGGCCTCTGCCCAAACCACAGCCGGGGTGTGGGGGAGGGGCACCCCACTTCCTGGGAGGGGGGCGGGGTAGGGAGGGCCAGGGTCTCCTTAGCTCCCCTCAGGGGAGGCCACTGCAGACACACCTACTCACTGGTGAAGACACCTCCTCGATTCTTTTACTCTGAGGGTCCACTAGGCCCCTCAGTCTCGCGGACACCACAGACCTGCTTTGTACGAGGCCCACCCCATGGATCTCGCTGCACACGCTGCTCGCTCTAAACCTTCCCCCAGTGGCTGGGCTGTAGCTCTCACATCTAACTGTGCCTGGAGGCCCCAAGTTCCCTAAGCCCTCACCCTAGAGTCCCGGACCCAGAGCACCCACACTCCCTGGACCCCACAGGCAGCCCTGGACGGGGTGGGGTGTGCAGTGGCCATCCCAAGGGCTCCTACTGTGCACTGAACGTGGGGATCCCAGCCTGTCCTGCGTGGCCCCTGCAGTCCAGCCTGGGGCCGTAGCTGGCTCCAGCCCCGTGCCGCCGGCCCAGCATGGCACTGCCCGGCCCTGCCCCGCCAGGCCCGAGCGCAGGGTGTTCCCCGGTCCCCCTGCTGCCTGGGTGTCGCTCCAAGATCCCCGCCCGCTCCAGCTCCCAGCAGAGGCTCACTCACCCCCGAAGGCTGCGGACAGGGGCTTCCCGCCCGGTTCTTTTTCGAGATAGAAGGGGTTTTCATGAGCTCCCGCTTCTTCCTGGAGAACATGTTGTGGCCAGGCCGAGTGGCCCAAGGGGCCCGAGGGGGAGCGGGCCGGGGGTCTCAGCGCTGCAGCTCCTAGTGTCAGTGGCCTCGGGACCACATTGTCGCTGGCCACCCCCCCCCCCCCAGCTGTCAGGCCCACGTGACAGGCCCAGCCCTCATTGGCGGGCGCTTCCCCCCACAGGAAAAGGCCTCCGGAGGCGGTGACTCAGACCTGCCCCTGACCCTCCCCAGCCTCAGCCTGCCCCTCCGCTCAGTGGGCTTGAAGGTGGGGTCCCAGGCTCCGCCCCCAGCTTCCGCTTTCAGGAGCTCTGCGCACGCACGCACGCACGTTGGTTGAGGTGCCCCTGCCTGGCACTGGCGCCCCGGGCAAGGCCCTGGCGGGCACATGGGGACTGCAGAGACGTTGACCCCCCCCCCACTCGGCCACACCCAGATGCACCCAGGAGTGCAGACACGGGAGCACGATGACACGCAGGGACATAGGCTTGGACACATGCTGAGAAGCCACCCAGCTCCGCAGATGCAACGGATACCCCTGGACACAGACACCTGCCCTCCAGTCCTCCTACCTTTCACGGGTGTGCCTGCCCTATATCCTCTGGCGACTCCCCTGCAGACCCCAGGGCCCAGGCAGCGCTGGGCATAGTGAATCTCCTCCCCTCAGCCCAGCTCCCACCCCTCACTCCCCATTCTACATTCCAGGGACATGCACCGACCATGACCATGGGACAGCTAGCCAGCAGCAGGGCTGCTAACACTTCTGAGGCCACCACGCCGCCTCCTCCCTTCCCTGGTGGGGCTCCCCGATCTGGAGCACTGGCGGTGTGTACAGCTTCCTGCCCCCTCCCCCCATGACCACCTCTTCTCTTTGAGCCCCCCAGTCTGAGCCTTCTCCCCTCCCCAGATCTTCCTCCCCCACCCCTCCAGAGTCCCAACACTGGCCCCCACTGACCTCAGGTGTGATCTCTGGGCAGGGGGCATGCAGGCCACAGCCCCTCATGGCAAACCCGGCTCTCCAGGCCCAAGTCCATCCACAGACCCCTCCCAGAAGCCCCTTAAGGAACCTCTGCCCACCACTCATTGCTCTGGAGACCAGGAGCAGGCAGTGAGGGCCGGCTGGTGGGCTTCTGACCTGGTCGGGAGGCCTGAGGTCTGGGTCGCCCCTGCTGGGCTCCTCCAGCTGCCCCAGACATTCCTGAGCCCTGACCGCATGCCCATTTCACGACCAGCCACTCACAGGTACCGCCCTCAGGCGCCAGAACCACGTGGGCACTTAGGGGCCCCGGGACCATTGTCCAGGCTCTTATGAAGGGCAAACCTGCAGAAAGACACGCCCCAGCCCACCACAGAGGGCTTCAGAGCTGGGAGTCCAGTCGGCTGCAGCTGGACTCTCACCTGCCCCCTAGAGATTGCATCTGTGTCCACAGACTAACTCCTGCACACACTCGGGTGTCAGGCCTGATATCCAGACATGGAGAGCCATTTTTGGACAAGCATGCAGCCTGACGCATGGACACACGTGCGGAGGGCTTCACACCATGACTTCTCTGTATTCCCTCCAGGGCAGCAACCCCTCAGGGAGCCTGGGTCCCGGCTCCAACCCCTCTGCCCTGCCTTGGTCACTCCCAGGGCCTCCCACCAGCTCCACGGAGGAGAGGGAGGCTCAGAGCACCGTCCCGGCCATGCTGTGGTCCTCGAGGAACTGGGTGATGAGTCTGGGGGTCTGTGGGCCTGGCACAGGGTCCGCCCCCACTTCTGCGTCCTTCTCGTCCTCCTCCTTCCCCTGATCCTTGGAGAGTTACAGGAATACCTAGTGCTGGGCAGCCCAAGGAAACAGGAAGGGAGGTCAGCTGAAGGGTCTGGCCCCCAGCCCCACCTTTACCACCAGCCCTGTCCTGGCGCTGAGGTCACCTCCTCCAGCGTGGTCTGGCTCACAGAGAAGTCCTCCACACCGTGCTCTGTGCCACGTGCCGCCAGCTCTCCAAAGAGGTGCACCAAGGCGCAGCGCGCTCCCGGAGGCAGCTGGAAGCGCAGGCGGCCACCGTGCATCTTCCGTAGCTCGGCCCCCGGGAACCTGGCTGCCACGAAGGCTCGGACTGAGACTCGGACACCCGCAGGGTCAGCGTGTGGCAAGCCCTGAACCTAGGGTGGGGTAGGGTGGGGTGGGGTGGAGTCCCGCAGCCCGCTCTTCCCTAAGACCCACCCACACCACCCTCCAGCTCTCTCCTAGCCCCACCCCTATACCTGGCTCCTCTTGACCCCCTGCCCAACAGACCTGGCCCCAACCCCTGCTCGTCCTCGCCCCTCCTACATGCTCATCCCTTCTCTAACTCTGCTTCTCCCAGGCCCCGCCCATGCAATGCCACGCCCCAGTCCAATCTCTGGGCCACACCCACTTGCAGACCTTCTTGTGTCTCCGCCCATGGACCCACCCTCAGCCATCAGACCTCATCACCCCTCTCATCCTGGACAGTCCATGATGCTTGTCTCTCCCCCGCTGAGAGCCAACCTGGCCCCACTTGATCTCCCCTCCGGCCCCACCTACACCCCCACCCGGATCTGCCCGCACCCAGGCCTTGAAGCCTCACCCCACTCACCGGCCCTGGAGGTGCTGCGTGTTGACCAGGCAGCGGAACCGCCCGTTCATCATGATGGCCAGGTGCGTGCAGAGCGCCTCACTCTCCTCCATGCTGTGGGAGCCCGGAGCCGTGAGCTCTGGCCAGGCCTGGACGGGCGGTGCCAGGCACTGGGCTGCTCCTGCTGGGGACCCTCATCCTCCAGCTCTGGACCACCCTGTGCTCTGAACACTTCCTGTCAGGCCCAGACTGCTCTGTTCCCTGGGCCGGGTACCACCTCCATGTGTTCTCCCACTCAGGCCTGGCACCCTCCCCCAAGCGAGGACCATGCCATCCCCTGCGACCCTGTGCTCTGACAGTCTCTAGCTCGGGCCTGGTCCACCTTTCTCCCCAGGATGGAACACCTGGACCCGCAGACCCAGGCGTCCGGTTCGGGGCCCACCTGTGTGAGGTGGGCACCACGGCCAGAAGGCTGTTCCAGAGAAAATGCCGTGCGCCAGGGTCCGTGCCAGTGGTGGCTCATCCTGGGAGCAGGGAGATGCTTAAGCGGGGCCCCGCCCCGCCCCTACTCTGCGCACACGCCCCCCTGCCCTCCCCCTCACATACCAGAGAGACCACAGCTGGATCCCCCACCAGAGCCACGGCTGTCGCCAGTTTCCGCTTAGTTGCCACGGCTGTAGGTGCCCACGGGCCTGTCCGCACATTGAGGGAGGCCCAGGCGCCCCAGGCCCGAGCTTGCTGTCTGTGGCGGGACGAAGTGGGAGGAGCAGAGTGAGCATGTGGGGGGGGGGGGGCCGGGTCAGAGTAGGGGGACCAGAGTGAGCAGGGGGGCCAGGATAGCGGGGGTCAGAGAATGGGGGGCCAGAGTGAGGAGGAGGGCCAGAATGAGGGGGTGGCAGAGTGAGCATGGGGGAGCAGGGTGAGTGGGAGGGGCTAGGGCGAGGAAGGGAGTGGAAGGTAACTAAAGAGGGTGGGGCCAGAGCGAGTACAGGGGCAGGACTGCTACCTGAGGGCGGGGCCAGAGTAAGGGAGAGGCAGGACCTGGCCCAGGGCAGGAAGCCACCAGGAAGCCCTAAGCTAGACGTGAGTAGGCGGGGCCATAGCCGAAGGGTCAAGGAGGGAAGGGGCGGGTCCCTAAGCAGGGAGGACAGTGGGAAAGGGAGGCAGACCCAAGTGAGTATGTAGGAGCTGGGGGAGGGCAGGGGCGGGGCCAGAGGACCAAGCGTGGGTGGACCTGGACTCAGGGTGTGGCCAAGGAGCACCAGGGTAGGTAGGCTACGGTCCAGGGGCGGGGTTGGGGGCGGAGACCGGAGGGGTTGGTTGTGGGAGTGTCACCTGGGCAACCTGGGCCTCGGGGACACCACGCAGGCGTGCAAACAGCTCCAGGTGCTCGCGGCCGGTCAGCAGCTCGAAGATGGCATCCAACTGAGGGCAGTAGCCCATGCGGCAGTGAGCTACGGCCGGTTCCCGGGCCACGCTGGGGATGGGGAACAGAGAACTTCAGGAACTAGCTGGGCCCCGGCCATGCTGGGGGCAAGCAGGGGTCTCAGGGCCCGCCCACCCACCCTGGTAAGGGACAGAAGGTGTCTCAGGGCCAGGTCAACCCTGCAGAGGTGTGGGGATCAGGGACTCAAGCCCCACCCGATCCGTGCATGCAAAGGCGAGGGGTGGGGAGGAACAAAGGCTCCAAAGCCCCTCACCTGTGGCCTGCCAGCACCACCTTGCCCCCGCTGGGCACCGTGTCCCCAGTCACCATGTGGAATGTGGACGTTTTCCCCGCTCCGTTCACGCCCAGCAGCCCAAAACACTGTGGGTACACCCAGAGACGGTACTCACAGAGGCCTGGACACTTGTGCCAGCATCTCTGATTTCTGGGGGTGGGTAACTCAGTTTCCACGTGGAGGGCTGTGGACAAGGGGACCCCTGGGGCAGATACTGGGGTGTGTGGGTAGGCATACAGCTGTCACACAGCAGGAATTCTGGTTGGCACGCAGTACGTATCCTATAAAGGTCACACACAGCCAGTGCTCCATAAATATCGAGGCAGGAGATTTCAGAATGTTTCCTGCCATGCAGTGGGTACCTGATGGCAATGGCACCTGCTGAGAATTCATGCTGGGTGTGCAGTCAGCCCACAGTGGAGAGGTTGGCTGCACACAGTAGGCACTTGCTAAAGAGTGACTACGACACTAACACACCACACATGTGCACAGGTATGTGTCAACCCCTAGTAGGTGGCCAGTAAACGGCCCACAGCAGAAAAGTTTGCACAAAGCAATTGCTTGAATGTGAACTGGTACAAAGCAGGTACCTACTAAATATTGGTCGTTAGCAAGTCCTTGATACATATATAGTAGGGGCTCAATAAATGCTGTTGATTTGATAAAAGTTGATCATCACAAAGGTGACATTCAATACACTTTTGGTACACACAAGGGGGGCTCAGTAATGCTTTAGTATATACAACTGGTACTCAATAAGTGCTAGCACATAGTACGTGCTTGATTAAGGTAGCAGGCATATGTATGGGGGCCCAATAGATGCTCAATAATAAATCTGTCCTCACTAGGATCTTATTAATACCTTATTGCACACAGTAGGGATCAATAAATGTAAGCATGCAGTAGGTGCTTAATGAGATTTGTTGGCTCAAAATAGGACTTCAAATATTGGCAGGCAGTAGGTACTCAATAAAAGTGCACAGTAGGTGCTCAATAAAGGGAAACAGGCTCACAGGAGGTGTTCAGTAGAAGGAGGTAGGCACAAACAGTACAGAGCACTGGGTGCACAGTAGGGCAGCCTCTCACCCCTGCACCAGGACCTCCACCCTGGACTTAACCTCACCAGGGGAGATCCCCAGACACAGGAGGTCGACAGCCAGTGTCCTCTGCCCAGGGTACACCTGGGAGGGATACAGGTCCATGAGAAAGGTGGGTGGGCCAGTGGGGGCCACCCAACCCAGCGCTCTGCACCCACCTTGGTCAGGTCCCTCAGCACCAACATGTCCCTCTCGGTGGCTCCTTGTGCCACCCGTGTCCGCTCATGGGCCACATCCTCATCCTCCTCTTCCAGGGCAGGCAGCAGCCTCAGCTTGGGTCTGAGGACAGAGACATGAGTGGGCCCAAAGCCAGATCCCAGCCCCTACCATCCTCCATGGTCCCCACTGACTGTGGCAGGAGGCAGTTGTGGTGCTGCAGCAGGAGTGTAAAGAGGAGGAAGATGGGCCCCTGTATCAACATGGCCAAAAGGTTCTTGCTGACGACCTCCCAGCGCAGGGGTGACTGGAACTGCCCATCTCCTGTGAGGACATGAAGGAGGGATTGGGTCATTTTAGGGGTTTGGTTTCTGGGCCTCTCCCCATTCAGGTCACCCTGGGTTCTTAAGGGAAAGGACCAAGCTGAATAGGCCACTCAACTGGGGTCTAATTGGCATGGAAAACAGCGGCATCGGGGCTTCCCTGGTGCCGCGGTGCTTAAGAATCCACCTGCCAATGCAGACGACACGGGTTCGAGCCCTAGTCCAGGAAGATCCCACATGCCGCAGAGCAATGAGGCCCACGTGCCACAACTACTGAGCCTGCGCTCTGGAGCTCGTGAGTCACAACGGCTGAGCCCGTGCACCTACAGCCCGTGCTCCGCAACAAGAGAAGCCACCGCAGTGAGAAGCCCGCGCACCGCAACAAAGAGTAGCCCCCGCTCGCCGCAACTAGGGAAAGCCCTCGCGCAGTGAAGACCCAACGCAGCCAATATATAAATTAAATAAATCTATTAAAACATATATATAAGAAAAAAAGAAAAGAAAAAGAAAACAGCGGTATCACCACCTCCCTTACTTAGAGCCTTAGACATTTTACGATGTGACCAAATGGAATTAGATTTTATGGCTGCTTTGCTGTACGTCTAACTTGGCCCTCAAGCCCTTGGGGGCCACCTAAGACCTCCAGGTCTCTTCCTGGGGGCTACTGTTTGTCCCTACCCTATAGAATTGACTCTCATCTGGCACTTCCCCACCTGGAGGGAAGTTCTCACCCAAGCGCTCAAAAGCGTCAGCCATGGCCTTGTTCCTCACCATGTCAATGAGCGCCCAGCCTAGGCAGAAGTGAGGAAAGATAAGGAAGACCCGTTTCAGGATCCAGCTCACCTCCTGTAACTTCTACTCAGGGGCAGGAAGAAGGAGGTGGGTAAGGGGCCAAGGCCGATGCCCAGTCCAACCCCAGCCCGAGGCCCAACCTTGTCGGGTCCTACCTGATCAGAGAAGAGCTCGAGCACAAAGGTGGCCATGCTGCCGTTGATGCCGATAAAGAGGCTGATGCAGGTGAGCACCATGTAGGCCATGCTGGGCATGGAGAAGAAGGAGGAGGGTGGGTACGTGAGTGGTGTGATTGACCATCTGAGGGGTAACAGGAGCCACTGTTACTGCCAGACAGGGGCTGAGCAGCCCTAAAAGTAATACAGATCTCCCTTCCTAATTCTGTGTTTTAGGCCTCTATAACGTGGATCAAGCCAAGATGAGCTTTTAAGGCCACCTCGGCACACCACTGAATTAGATCACACTTGGGGTCACTTCAGAGCTCCATACCCTCTCCTTAGGAGCTGCTACAGAGCCCCATCTCCCTCAACAGTGTTGGAGGGGTGGTGGTCAGTAAGAACAAACCCTGAAAGGCTAGGGGCCTCACTCATACAGTAGTAGCAACAACAGGAGGGCAGGCAGGTTGGCAGAGGCCACGTACGCCCTCTGCTGGAAGGTCAGAAAGATGAGCACCACGATGGACACTGGCACCAAGTAGTTACACTGCATTGGAGATGGCAGTTTCCCCCCTCAGTGTGCAGGGGTGGGAACTGGCACCCTCGGCACTGTGCCCCACCCTGACCTCCTCCCTGTGCTTTGGGTAGCAGGACATGAGGTCTCCCACAATCCCCAAGACTTTACTTGGGCCATCCTAGACAAGTCCCTGCCCAGAAAGGGCCAGAAGGGGCAGTGGCAAGTGGTGGCGGGGCCCCCACCCCTCCAGGCAGTCCCCGCACCATGTCCCAGAGAAAGTTCAAGGGTGAAGCTGGCCGGGACAAAGGACATGGCGAAGACCACACAGATGGAGACAAGCACGTCCACTGAGGAGGCCATTCTGGGGGCGAGAGTACATGAGCTGTTCAGAGGGGGAACTGTGCACACCACCGATGGGACAGAAGTCCTCAGGGCTGGGTATGGATGGGGGAGATGGCCTGAGCCATTTCGGGTCATTAGGCAGGGAGAGGTTTCCCAGGTCTCTAGTAGAATAAAAGTTGATGTGACGAGAATGTGCAGGCAGCTGGGGGAGACTGGAGCCCGTGGAGCCTGATGATGTCCCATTACCCTGGCCTAGGGAGCGGAGAGGGGCAGTTCCTGTTCCCCATTTACACAGCAAGAGCGTAGCAGAGCGTAAATCCAACTCCCATCGCCCCAAACAACAGAGAAACCAGCTGATGCTGGGGGGATACACAGAGCTGGGGGACTCACAGCGTGGCCTCAGACAGCTGCTCCTTGGTGAGGTTCAGGGGGTGATTGAGCATGGTGCTGCTGTGGGCACGGTGGGCGGGGCTTGGCGGCAGGCGGGCAAGTAGGAGAGCGTTGTTGGCTCCGTTGACAAAGGCCACCACGGCATGCCAGCCCTTGTTGTTGAACCAGATCTGTGGTAGGGTCAGGGCCAAGGGGTCAGCGTGCGGGGGTCAGACCTACGCCCAGCAGCGCCAGCCCACCACTCCCAGTTCCCACCTTGAGGCCATCCTGAATGTCCAGACCAAGAGCCCATGCTGTAAGGTTGTTCAGGATGCGGTCGAGGGCCCCGCCCAGTTGGGGGCTCAGCAGTGCCCGCAGCTCCTCCACAGAGCGGCCCACCTCAAGCCCCGAGGGCAGGCCCGGGTCTCGGCCCCCCAGGGAGAAGCCCCCATACCTGTGAGGCAGTGGAGGAGGGGCAGCTGAGGGTCGGGGAGGATGGGGTGGCAGGCCTCCCAGCAGGCAGGCAGAGGGCACAGGAATGGAGCCCAGGCAGGGGACACTCCTCACCTGACCTCGTTTACCCACTTCTTGGTCTTCAGGCTGTGATAGAGACAGACACACAGACAGAAAGATGAGTGAGACAGAGATAGAGAGATGCTAGGGAGTTGATTTGGGTGAGATAAATAGAAACGATGAGGTATGGAGGGCTCCTAGGAAGCCCCAGCTGGGAACCCCAGGCTGGACATCCCCCTCTCCCCAACCTCCCCCAGGAACAGAACACTTCCTCCACCTGAGGACCCATGCTACGGCCGGGCACGCCAAGTCCAGGGCAGTGCTCACCCTTGGCGTACCAGGCGTGGGTAGGTCTTGACCAGGAAGTCAGACAGTTTCCGGCCTGTTAGGTTCTGGACCACTTTGCCCGAGTTGGTCGGTGCCTGGGGAGGCGGGGGGCAGCCGGCCACAGCAGGACAGTCGGGCAGCAGGCGGTGGGCACCAGGCTGGCTGCACTGGCAGGCAGGGGACGGAGACTCCGGAGTCCAGCTGCCACTGGCCAAGACCTTAGCCACATCTGCAGGAACCTCGGGCACCGAGAACTGGCAGACGGCAGGCTGCGTGCACTCAGGTGCCCTGCGGGCGTGGGTGCAGGGCTGGGGCACCCGGCTTCCAGGGTTCCTGGAATGTGGGGGCGCCCAGCTCCCAAGCAGGCATGGGGGATACCCAAGGCACCCTGAGGCCCACTGGCCAGAGCCCAGATAGGGAAACTGAGACCAGAGAGGAGAAAGGTCCAGGCTGGCGGGCCCTCACCTGTTGGAGTTATTTTTCAGGTAAGCCTCCTCCAATCCGGCCTCTTCCCGCAGCACCTCGAGCAGGCGGGCACGTTCAGGGTCCCCTGGGGCATCCTCGCTGCACAAAGGGGGCGCAGGTCAGGGCTGTACCCACAGGCTCCTGGCGCTCCCACCACCAGGCCCCTCTCCTCTGCACCCACCTGAAGAAGGACACTTGGGAGCCATACATGCTGGGACTGAGCTGCAGAGCTGGGTAGTATCCGAAAGGAGGCATGATGAGGCTGAACACCAGTGCCAAGCCGACGAAGAGGGCAGGCAGCCCAATCTGAAGGACCAGCCCATCAGCTGCCCTCCTGGCCTGCCCTCCAAGCTTGCCTGCACCCTTCCCTGATCCCGCTCTGGAACCATCCATGGATCCCCAGTGCTTTCAGAAAGTGTTCAGAGTAGGGGATACACCTGGGGTTAGGCTGTTGAACTAGGTCACAGAGTGGAGAACAGGCACTCAGGGTCCCCCACACGCCCTCCCTCGTGCCTGGCCCCCCTCACCTGTGTGAACAGGCCACAGCGGCTGCAGCGGGCAAGCAGGAAGCGCTTGAGAAGCAAGGCCCGGAGCTGCTGGTGGGCCAGCACCTAGCCATGTACACAGCCTGCGGCGTCTGGCCCAGAGCTCTGCAAGGCCTGTGTCTCGGGGGCAGATCCCGCTGTGAGGGATAGGAGGGTCAGTGCTCATGCCCCGGGGACCAGGAGGGGCCACAGGGCCGGGTGGGGACAACTCACCCAGCCCCCCATTCTCCAGGGCTGATTCCTCTGGCAGAATCTGCAGCCTTGCAGTCGCATCCAGATGAGCAATGCCTGAGCACGGGTGCTACCTGGGCCTACCATCTGTGGAGTTACCAGTGTTGGGGTCAGGTTCAGGGTCAGGGTTAGCGTTCAGCCTGGGGTCTGGGCTAACGTCAAGGTTCACAGTGGAGGGGTCAGGAATCACGGGTGGAGGTCAGGGCTATGCCTTGGGCCACGTCAGCCAGGGATGGGGACTTGGTCTAAAGTCAGGTCCAGCTCTGGACCAGGTTGAGGGATCAAGACAGAGACCTGCGGCCGCACCCCCTGGGCCTGTGTCCACAGCACAGTCCTCCGCCACCTTCAGGAAGATCTGGGGAGACGAAGCAGGGCGCTCAGAGCCTGGGGACACAGGGGAGGGAGGGAGACTCGAGAGCCACCACCTCTCATACACTGGGGGTCCCCAGGCCTCCCGGAGGGCCCCTGAGTCTCCAGGCTTCTGTGGGTGCCCTGACTCCACCCTGGGACACCCAGCTGTCAATAGGCAGACTCCTCTTCATCCTTCCAAGCACCACCTCCTCCAGGCAGCCCTCCTCCCGGCACCCCCACACCTCCCCCAGGAGCCACACCTCCTCCAGGCTGGTGTCGGAGATCCCGAAGCCGGCCAGTCCCAGCTTCCCCAACCGCTGGTCCAGCTCGCAGAAGAGCTCAGTGAAGCTACTGTCCGGGGCGCCCTGGTAGGGCAGCGCCAGCACCAGCTCGTGTGGCAGCTCTTTGACCAGCCGTGCCCCGGGCACGTGGCTCTGCACCAGGGCCAGCAGCTGAGCATGTCAGGGGCCCTGGAGGCGTGGGCAGCCGTGGCTCCTGCCCCGCCCCTCCTATCCCTGCCCCCCTGGAGAAGGGGCTTGGGTGATCCATGAGGGACCTGTCCCTGAGGGCAGAGGACGTCAGGATTAGGTACCCAAGGGCAGGACTTGACCCTGGGTCAGAGCCAGAGTCCACCCAGGGTTGGAGTCCAGGAGTAGGTCCATGTGTCGGCTCAGCCTGGGGTCAGGAGTCAAGCCTGGGGTTGTGAAGTCCTGTTACCCTGAACCAAGCCACTACCACCCAACAGCCCCTCACTCTGGCTCTCCCACCCCGGCCCTCACTGGCAGTGCTGGCCTGGCTGCCTGGCTCCCTTTCCTGCCCAAGATCCATGTTGTCCTTCAAGTCAGTGTCACCCTGCGGGCAGGGCTGGCCAGAGCCTTGAGAGACAGTAGATGGAGGTCAGCTCCAGCCCTCACTTTTTTTTTTTTTTTTTTTTTGCGGTACGCAGGCCTCTCACCACTGTGGCCTCTCCCGTTGCAGAGCACAGGCTCCGGACGCGCAAGCTCAGCGGCCATGGCTCACGGGCCCAGCCGCTCCGCGGCATGTGGGATCTTCCCAGACCGGGGCACGAACCCGTGTCCCCTGCAACAGCAGGCGGACTCTCCACCACTGCGCCACCAGGGAAGCCCAGCCCTCACCTTTTTGCTGGTGGCCAGGGCTGGGGGACCCTTCACCAGTGTCAGGTAGTATCTGGAGACCAAATGACACCACAGGAAGAGCGGGGAGCCACAGCAGCACAAGCAGCCACCCGCCACCACTGCCACACGGTCTCCCAACAGCTCTGCCTCATCCAGGTGGTGGGTGGAGAGGATCAATGTGCAATCTGGGCATGGGACCCAACCCACTCATGCCATCAGGCTGCCAAAGCTGTGGTCTCTGCCCCATGCAGTGAACTCCTACTCATCCCTCAAAACCCCATCCCCCAACACCTCTTTGTCAGAAACATCTTCTGGCCTCTCAAGCAGAATCCAGGGGAACCTCAGGCCACCCCCTATTCTTACCATCATGGTATTTGAGCGGCAGCTCCCGAATACCTCGACAGAAAGCAGGGTCCACACCAGCTGTGGGCTCATCCAAGATAACGACTTGGGAGCCACCCACAAAGGCAATGGCCACTGAAAGCTTCCACTGAATCCCACCTGGGTTGGGACAGGGGTTGGGATCTCAACAGGACCCACAGGCTTGGGCAGGGCTACCTCCCTTCTTCCTGCGCCTCTCCCTACCCACCTGGACCTCAGTTCCTGTCTCCTCTGGCATCCCCCCATCCTCAGGATAAAGCCCTAGCCCCCTCCCCATCCTCATCTCTGCAGACCCAAAGGCTCCTCCCCAGAGAGGTGGCGAGTCTGTGCATGCCGCTTGGGGAACAGTCCCACATCCCACATCAGACGGTCCTGCTCGGGGCCCACGGCAGCTGCACTCAGACCCTTTAACCGCCCATAGAACCAGACGTGCTCATCCACAGTCAGCCTGTGGCCATGGGCAAAAGACAGGGTGGCTACCATGGTGGGCAGGGGCCCAGAGAGCACCCAGCCCCCCATTGCCATGCCCCAGGCCCACTGAGACGCACATGTCAAACAGCACACTGTACTGTGGGCAGACTCCCAGGTGGGGCTGGATGGCTGCCATGTTGGATCGGACATCGTGGCCCAGGACACAGGCGGAGCCAGCAGTGGGTGGGAAGAGGCCGGTTAGGATGGACCTGGGGGTGCGGGGATCGCAGAGCAGCTGCCCCTTCAGAGGGGGAAACTGAGGTTCCCAGAGAAGAAGCACCAGCACATATAGGGCACCTACTGTATGCCCAGACCGAAGGAGTATTATGTTCCCATTTTACAGGGGAGGGAAAGTGAGGCTCAGAGAATATACTTATCGCCTACCTATTGTGTATCCAAAGTGAACTTGCGGGGGGGGACCCAAAGTGAACTGGGGAGGGGGGTATCCTGTCCTCACTGTACAGACAGGGACCTTCTGACCCCAGATGTCCTTCCCCTTGAACAGGTGTGCAAGCTGAGGCCCTGGGGGGCGGGGAGAGAGGAACTGGGGGGGAGGGGAGAGACGGCTGCTCACAGAGTTGTCGTCTTGCCAGCCCCATTGTGGCCCAGGAAGGCGGTGATGAGGCCCTGGTAGAAGTCCAGGCTGAGCCCGTGCAGGGCTGGCTGTGGGTTACCAGGAAAGCGCTTTTCCAGGCTCCGTATGGAGACTCCTGGAATCAGGCCAGGGGGCGCCTCTTCCACCAGTATTGGGGAAGGAGGGCAGACTCAGCCATGGGAGCCCCTGGGGTCCTGGGGGCTGTTCAAGCTGGTCTGTGGAGTCGGGGACTTGTGGGGCAGGGGTCTGTAGGAGTTAGGGGAGCCTCAGGGGGCCTGGAGGACTAGGGGTGTCCAGAGGATTGGGATCCGTGGGAACCTGGGTTTTGGGGGGGCCTGGGAATCCAGACAGGGAAGTGGCTGCTAAGGTCTGTCAGGCCTCACCCTTGGGGTCCTGTGGGGCAGGGGGCTGGGCACTTGGAGGTCTGAGGCCCAAACCAGTAGCTCCTCCAAAAGGGAAAGTTCCACGGTTCGGGGATCCCGTACTCGCCTGTGGGGAGTAGTACTCAGTTACCGCTTGAGCCCATTCCCCTGGTGTGTGCCGGCTGCTGGCCATACCCCTGGGATTAGGGTATCCAGGTAGGAAGTAATCAGGAAGCCCCGCCCACCCGCCCCAGACCATCCCTCAAACGCAGCCACCTGTGCGCATGTGCTCAGGTGCCAGGAATCCCCACCCTCTCACCTCCGGCTTCCAGACCCCTAAGCCCCGCCCCATCCTGGGCCCCGCCCCTCAGCCCAGCCTCCCTGGCGCCTGTGCACCTCTTACGGCCCACCTGGGCACACAGCCTCCAGGTACCAAGTGACGAGGCCGTAGAGCGCAGCGTCGAGCTGCAGAAGACCCGAGACCTGGGCCAGGCTGAAGACATCGGCTGTAGGCCCAGTGCCCACGCTGTGCCACTGCGCGCCCTCGCCCTGCTCCTCCAGCAGTGCCAGGCTCTCGCAGCCGAAGCCGAAGGCCACGGGCAACAGAAGGCTCTGCGGGTTGGGGCAGGTAGGTATGTGGGTGGAAAGCAAGGGCAGCTAAGGGTGCCTTGCACCCCTGCACCCCACCCGACCCGGCTCTCACCGCGGCCACACGGCCGCCCACTGGGCAGTTGGTCCCCCCAGGCCACGCACAGCACGTAGAGCAGATAGAGCACGAAGTAGGCGGGGCCCCCGCAGGCGGCTGCCAGGTTGGCTCGGGAGAAGCAGGCGCTCAGAAAGAAGCTCTGGACCACCGTGGCCACCTTGAAAGCCGCCAAGAACGGGAAGGGCACCACCGCGTGGCTGTAGGGGAGGATGTCCCCGAGCTACAGGGAGGCAAAGACAGCTGGAGGGAGCGCACGGATTCGCCCAGGGACGCGCAACCCCGCGAGGCGCCCCCTGCCTGTTACCCTCCCGCGTACACGTGCACCCATTCTGGAGCCGGGAAGGCCGGGGTGCGCCCACCTTGAGCACCAGCATGAGCAACGCGGTGCTGAGAAGGAAGGGCCCGAGACAGCTGAGGAACCAGCCCAGCCAAAGCACGGCGCCACTGAGCCCCATGGCGCGCATCGTGCAGCACAGCCTCGTCTCCTTCTCACGCACCACAGCCTTCACAGTCAGCGCCACCGAGTAGATCCAGGCCAGCATCAGGAAGAGTGGCAGTGACCGGCTCAGCACGCGCAGGAACCTGGGGCAGTGGGCAGCTGGGGTGGAGGCCGGAGACCCCGCGCTGCCCCCATCTGGCACGAGGGTGCGCGCACTGGGATCCCAAGGTGAGGCCAGCCGAGGACATTTGTCCTCCCTTATCATCAGACCCTTGATAGCGCCTCAGGGTTCTGGCTGTTAGGCCACGTTCTCCCAGCTCCCGGAGACCCCCGACCCTCAGGAATCCCTGCTCCTCCCGCTACAAGTCACGGAGAGTGGTCCCTCTAAACTGTAGTTCTCAGCCTTGCCTGCGTGAATATTCCAAACGGAACCCTGGCCGCACCCTGAGACCCGGGTCTGGCATCTGGGTGAGGAGGGGGCACTCACGCGTCGGCCACGTAGCACGGGTAGGGCATCTGCTGCAGGTAGAGGCCGGCGCGGGGCGCGGCTCCAGTGAGCACGCTGCGCGCTCCAGCAGGTCCTGCAGGTACACGAAGCCGCCCCACACGTAGCGCAGGTCCATCAGCGCGTCAGCAGCCGCACCGGGGTCCCAAAATCTGAGGCGAGTATGGGAGTGGCTGGGACCTGCCCATCACAACTTTAGTTCCGCCCTCACCTGCCTCCTCAATTACGCACGAAGCCCCACCTGCCAAGCGCTCTTTTTTTTTTTTTTGCTGTACGTGGGCCTCTTACTGTTGGGGCCTCTCCCGTTGCAGAGCAGGCTCAGCTGCCATGGCTCACGGGCCCAGCAGCTCCGCGGCATGTGGGAATCTTACCGGACCGGGGCACGAACCCGTGTCCCCTGCATCGGCAGGCAGACTCTCAACCACTGCGCCATCAGGGGAGCCCCAAGCGCTCTAATCTTATCCCAGAAGCCGAGGGTTGAGCCCGCGCCTGCCAAGCCCTTGGCCGCGCCCCTCACACCATAGGCTCCGCCCACCACAGGCCCCAATTGGTCTAAGGAGTGTTGGGCTCCACCTACCAAGGTCTATGGCAGGTGGGATGCTCCCTGGCATCCCCATTCCCTCGGCCCCGCCCCACAAGGCCCCCCACCTGTCCCTGATCTTATTGGCTCTTGTGACGTCATCGATGTCCATGCGGATCTTGATGCGCACATGGCCAGGGCCTGGGGACTGCGAAGAGTCCGGGAAGTCCTTGGGCTCGGAGGGCAGCTCCAGGGCCCGCTCCACCAGGGCAGCCTCTGAGGGCGCAGCCTCCAGCTTGTCCAGAGTCACGCACTGGGAGGGGCTTGGGCGTGGGTCCGAGGTCCCAGGGTTCTCCTCTGGACCTGAGGGTGGAGCCGCGTTTCCTCCTAGGAGTCCCACAGCAGGGCTGCCCCTCCCCTCAAAGAGATTTCCCCAGGTGGGCGGCCCCTCACTTCCATCACACGGCCCAGTGTGCCCACCACGTGTCCCATATCAGCATGGGCCTCATGCCAGCTGCAGCCACCACTTCGGGGGTTCAGAAAGGCACGAAGAGCCTCCCCCCGGTCCTGGCCTCCAGCTCCTGGCTGCCTTCTTCCTGTGACCTGCAGGAGCCTCTGGGGGGTGTCAGGGAAGGTGGGAGTCTGTTTCGGGCATTCAGGGCCTGTCACCCCTCTTCCCATCCCTGCGGCCGGAGTTCACCATGGATACCACTTCCCAGCTCCACACCCTTGCCCAGAAAGCCCTGCCCTTTGCTCAAATCCTCAGCAGGGCATGACTCTGCTGCCCGGCATCCTGGCCCCACCTGCAGCCGGCGCTGTCGTTCGCGAAGTTCAAGAGCTGGGCGCCCAGCAGCTCCCACACCTCCTGGATGCCCTTCAACAGCGGCAGCCCCTGGAAGGTTCGGTTCACCTGCAGGAGGCGGGCGCCGAGGTCTATGCCGGCCTTGCCTGTTCACGACCCTTCCCCCCTCTGAGGACCACTGCCCACCCCTCCTGCTTCCCCCCCTCTGCTCCATCCTGTGCCTCTGAGCGCTGTCTGTAACCTGGCAAACTCTTACCCCTTCTAGACCCCGCTTCCCGGACCCAGCCCAGGGGCCGCCCGTCTCCTGGTCAGGGCCCTCCCGCTGGCCTGGCCCTCCCCGCCCTGGTCTGAGGCCGGGACATGGGACCCCTCCCACCGTCACCTGGGCCGTGAGCTGAACACTACTTTCCCCAGGACCAGCGGCTTCAGGCGCCTCCAGAGCCGGTGCGACAGGAGGTGGGCGTCCAGGGCCCCCACCAGCTCAGTGCGGGTGGAGCCTATCGCCGAGGGGTGCACCATGAGACCCTGTGCCCGCCCACGTCCTGGCCCCACCTCCCCTGCTGGGAAGCCAGCTCAGCCACTCAGGCTGTGGTGTGGCAGGGCCCGTGCCGCTCCTGCCACACCAGCTCCTTCAGGTCACTGGCCTCGTACCGGCTTGCTGGGCTCCCGGCACTGCACAGGGCTTCTGCCACCGCCTCCAGGGGGCCACCTGGCCCTTGGGGTCTCCACAGCAGTGCCCACAGCTCCACCAGGCCAGGCGGCGCCAGGAGCTGGAGACGGGTCACCAGAGGGCCCGGGCAGGCTTCCCTTCCACGTGGTCCCACCGCCAGGCCTTAACCAGGGCAGGGGACTCCACCAGGAGCACCCTCTCCCTCTCTTTCTGCCCAAGTGCCCCCCAAAACCTACCAAAGATAGGTGCCTGGGGCTGCCCTGTCACCTCCCCTTCCAGGCAGCCCACCCAATTTCCTGGCTGGGGTAGAGGCTGCGCGGGCCTCTTATCTCCTGAGCCAGGTCTTCTGCTGCTTCCACAAGGCTGTCTAAGGAATCCTGGGCCTGGCCCAGCACAAACGCCAGGGATTCCTGGGGAGAAAGATGACAAGGTGACAACGACGTTCACTGCTGTCGCACCAGGGGTCCAGTACCTTGCTAAGTTCCCAGGGGGTCCATACTATCATAGGCCCCGTTTTACAAACAGGGAAACTGAGGCTGCTAGAGGCAAATGGGCTTGTTCAAGGTCTCAGGGCTGGAGTATCTCAGGCCCTCCCAGGCACAGGCCTGGAGGCTGGCCCACGAGGGGCAGGGCGGGACTCCACGAGAACAGCGTCCAGGGCTCCAGCTGGCCTTGCCCTGCCCCACCTCACCCCTTGCGTCAGTGTCCTTAGCAGCTCAGTGGCCAGGGACGGTCCCTCCTTGGGCTAGTCACTCAGCTGAGCCCAGGCTGAGGGAGTAAAGCACAGAAGCCCAGGGTTAGGCAAAGCTTAAACCGAGACACGCCCCACCCCGTGCCTATTTCACAGCCCAGCAAGCGGAGGCAGGTGGGTGCTCAGAGCCCGGCCCCGCCCGGCCTGCCATGGGCCCTGCCTTCTCACCTGCTCCGCGTGCAGCCCTCAGCGAAGGCATCAACTGCCTCAGGCTAGCCAGCATCCTGTGGGCATCTGCCAGGAGCCGGGAGACCCTGGGGACAGAGAGAGGGCGGGAGGCGGTGGCCGGCCGCCCCCGCTGCCACCGGCTTACAGGGAGTCCTGAAGGTGCTGAGGACGCCAGGCTCCTCGGTGGGCATGGGCCGTGGGAAACAGGTGTTGCTCATGTTGCAGATGAGGCCCTAGAGTCAAGGGACGGTACCCGCTGACGGCAGCGGCTTGTTGGGGAAATGGCCTGCGGGGACGCCGGACGTGGGCTTCTCGTCTGAGTCCCCAGCGTGAGGACAGCCCCGGCGACAGAGTGCTCCCTCTCAGCCATGATTCGAGTGCCCGGCCTGTGCTCCGGACTCTCCCTGGGGCCCCTGTGCACGGGGTGACCACTGCTAACCCTAACCCTAACCCCAAAGTGCTGGACGTTGGGAGGCTTACATTCATGCTGCCCAAGTTGGGGGTGGGAATGGCGTGCGGCCACATCAGCTCCACCAAGAGCTGCAACTGCGGGGGCAGAACAGGCGGGGGGGGGAGTGGGGGACCGTGGGGGGCGCCCGGGCCGCCCCTCCCTGGCCCACCCGACCAGACATTACCGGCTGCCGCCTGCGGTACAGGAAATTCTTCCAAAGCAGCATCAGCTGTGTCCGGGAGGCCATGGTGGGAATGGACGGGAGACAGGACTCGGGTCAGGCTGAAGTCGTACTGTGCGGCTGCGGGCAACTCCCTGTTCCTCTCTGAACCTCATCATCTCTCTATCGAGCAGGGTTCCTGGAAGCTCTGCTTAGAGCCGAGCAAACAGTCCGCGCTAATTAAAGGGGCTCCTGTCTCCCCAGAGGGGCGGAGTAAGCCAATGGGAGCCCTGCCCGAATCCATCCTCGCATCTCATTGGTTGAGGGGCCCAGGGCTGCAGCTGGGGGCCCAAAGGCGATCAATTAATCCTGCAGGTGGTGGAGCCTAGGCTTAACTCTCTCCTCACCAGGCTCCACCCTAAGCCCTACTGGTGGGGCCTCCAGGTTCTGTCCCCCAGCCTCATCCCTAACCCGGGGAAGGATTCCCTTCCCCCACCCCACCCCACCCCGCGCTCTTCTCCAATGATAATAGCAACGAGTATTTTACACGACTGGCTGGAAGAGGGGCCACCCCAGGCCCCCAGAGAGACAGGCAAGTTACCCAGCTGGAGGCAGGGCCCCAGCTCTGCCCTCCCCTCACGTAGTATTCTTCCGCTCAGAAGACCCACAAGATCCAGAAAATGAGTAAAGAGCAGGGGCGGCGCCTGGAACCAGCGATTCCTGATCCTGTTCCTTGCTTGGAACCGTCCAGCCTGGCCTACTTCATCATTGTACAGATGGGGAAACTGAGGCCGCCAGAGGGGCAGGGAGTGGACCCAGGACCCCTGACTCTCACTCCAGGACTCTCCTTTACAAGTGGGACCTGCGGGGAACAGCCTCTGTTTCTGTATTGGTAAAACGGAGCAGAGAGCTTAGCGACGTACTAATGGGGAGAGGGGCTGCAGGTGTAGGTTGGTGAGTCTGATGCCCATACCTCCCCGTGGAGAATTAGTGATCAATTCTGCCGCACCCAACACTCCCCGGCAGGGTGTGAAGGTGAGTAGCAGTCTGGAGTCGGGCCTCACCCCTGATTTCCCACGGAATCTGCCTCCTTCCCACCCATCCGCACCCCCGCATCCTCGAGTCTCAGGGCCTTCCTCTCTCTCCGGGACACTCCCACCGTTCCAGCCCCCAACTCTTGCCTCCTTCCCTCCTCCCGACAGCGGCTGGGGAGAGCGGCTCCTTTAAGAGGAGCCCTCGGGGCTTCCCTGGTGGCGCAGTGGTTGAGAGTCCTCCTGCCGATTCAGGAGACTCGGGTTCGTGCCCCGGTCCGGGAAGATCCCACATGCTGCGGAGCGGCTGGGCCCGTGAGCCATGGCCGCTGAGCCTGCGTGTCCGGACCCTGTGCTCCGCAACGGGAGAGGCCACAACAGTGAGAGGCCCGCGTGCCGCAAAAAAAAAAAAAAAAAAAAAGAGGAGACCTCGCAGCGGGCGCGGCACCGCGGCAGCGACCTGTACCTGGCGTCCCGCGCCCCGGCCTGGCCCCGCCCCACCCCATCCGCTCCCATTGGCTTCCATAGCCGCCATTCAGAGGCCGGGCCAACCGGAGCCGCGCGCGCCGACGGGGGAGGCGGGGTCACAGCCGGGCCGCGCTGAGCCGGGTTTCTTAAAGGGATCGCTCGCCTCTTGCTGCAGCACCCCAAGGAGGAGGGGCGCCCGGCTCACCCCACGCGGGTTGGCCTCCGAACACACCGGCCAGGCCCACGTTGCATAGCCGCCTGCAATACCGCAGCTCCTGGTCTCAGGAGGTCCCTTTCTCCCCACTCTCCCTCCAGCCCTAGCCAAACTCGCCCTAATACTCTGGGACTCCATTTGCCCATCCAGAAAATGGGGGTTCGACTAGAGTCATCATTTGTTCATTCATTCATTCCACAAACATTCCTCGGTCCTTACAGTGGGTCAGGCGATGGCAGAAGTGGGAGGGGGCCCTCAACATCCTAAGATTAGAATCTTGGGTCACGATGGTGACACTGATTTGGAAGAAACCTCCAGATGTTTCCCCCTCCAGAAAATTGGGTATATTTCACAAGGTCTTAATGAAACATGTGTGTGGATCCACAGCTCTGAAGGTGCTGGGAAAGGTGAGAAGGGTGGGAAGGGCTCCATGAAAGGAGAGTTTGGGGGCTTCCCTGGTGGCACAGTGCTTGAGAGTCCGCCTGCCGATGCAGGGAACATGGGTTCGTGCCCCGGTCCGGGAAGATCCCACATGCCGCGGAGCGGCTGGGCCCGTGAGCCATGGCCGCTGAGCCTACGCATCCCGAGCCTGTGCTCCGCAATGGGAGAGACCACAACAGTGAGAGGCCCGCGTACCACAAAAAATAATAATAATAAATAAATAAAAAATAAAGAAAAAAAAGAAAGGAGAGTGTTGTTGTTGTCACTGGGGCTTTAAGGATGAATAGGAGTTTGCCAGAAGGGAACTCCGGGACAAGTAAATGCACAAAGGCCTGGAGGCTGGATGAAGCCACCGTCCTGAGGACCTACTTACAGGTTTGCCCTTTGCCCCACCCCCAGGTCCCCCCCAACCCCAGATCCCAGGACCCCAGAAAGTATCCAAGCCAGGCACCGCCCCCCAGGCTGTCTTGGGCACCAACTCCAGCACCTTCATTTCCGAAAAAGAGGTTTTATTTCCTTTGGTCCACAGTCGGTATTTCACATTATTTCTTGGTCCCAGGGCTCCTGGGCAGGGGCTGGTCCCCGGGAGGGCCTCTGGGTGGGGGTCCCTGTGCAGTATTTGGTGGGGTATGGGGACAAGTATGGGGGCTTCTGGCTTTGCCTCAACCACTCAGAAATGCACTATCCTGCCTGGGCCTCAGTATCCCCACTGGGCCCCTGGCAGGGGACAGGGCCGGTGGTCTGAGGGTCCTAGGGAAATCCAGTACCTCACGAGGCCTAAAATATTTTGGGACTGTGGCCTGACCTTCTCCCAGTAGCCCCCTCCACCATCCCCCTACTGTTCCCCTGAAAAAAAAAAAGTATTTTCATTTCACTAAAACGGCCTGAAACTTCTGTGGGTACAGAAACCACAAACTGATTGGCAGAGAAAAGAGAAGAAGGGAAGAAGCAACCGGAAACCACTTGGGGTCGGTCCCCCTCCCTGCCCGGGTTTCGTCTTTCTCCCCTGCAACTTGGCCCAAAGCCTGTTGGGAAACATGCCTGGAGGTGCCCTGGCGGGGACCCCCCACCCCACATGCATCTGGATATGGCCTTCACTCCTTCTCCCCAGACCTTCAGCTGGCAGCACTCAGACATGTAAGAAAAACAAGACAAAAACACAGAAAACCCCGAAAACCCAGATGGGGCAATGATGGGAGACAGCCCGCATGGGCGCCTCAGTAGCCTGCCTCCTCCTGGTAGTAGGGGGGGTACCCTGGGGCCTCCCCCGGGTCTGGGACATCTCCGGCAGCCGCTGGAGCCCCATCGGCCGCTGGGCCTTGCGGGCAGTACTTGGGGTCGTATATCTGCCGGCCCAGGCCGAATACCTGGCCGCTCTGATTGGCGCCCTGCGTGTAACCCATCTGCAGGGACATGGAAGAGTTGTCACATTTGTCTGTCCCCAGCTTGGTGTCGTAGATGTGCCGCCGGGTCCCTGGAGCCGTCATGCCCACCTGGAGAGAGAGAAAAGGCGTCAGGGAGGGAAGAAAAGGGGAAACAGAGGCCCCAGAGAACTTCCCCTAAATTCCCACACCTTTTCCCACCTCCCTGTCTTTGCACTCACAGTGCAAACTCCTACAGATCCTTCCAAGCCCTGCTCAGAACCCTCTCTTTTCTGACTCTGTGCTGAGTTGATCTGGTGTTTGGGTCCAGCTCTCTCTCCCTGCCAGCCAGGAAGCTCCCCAGGCTGGGGCTCAGGCCTGCCAGGACCTGAATGCTCCAAAGGCATCACACTGATACACCAACATAGCAGGAAAAGTGACAACAGCAGGGTCTAAAAATATCAGAGTTGGATGGGCCTCTGGGCAAAACTTTGAGGGAAACTGAGGCACAGAGCTGGTTAGTAACTTCCCCTGGGACACACAGCAGGCTGAGGCAGAGTCAGAGCAGGCACGGCCAGAGGGGTAGGAGAGAAACCCAGAGTGGGTTTCAGCGGGAGATGCTCTCAGCAACAGGGATTGAGCCCTCAGGGTTTGGTAAGGTGGGTGGGGGCCCGGGGGGACTGGGGAGGCCCACCTGGCTGGCACACTTGTTTGTGCCCATCTGGAGGCTGATGGTTGAGTGGTCCATGGGGGGCAGGATATGGTTCTTGGGGTCATACAGATGCCTTCTGGTGCCATAGGCCGTCATGCCTGACTGGCTGGCACATTTGTTGGTGCCCATCTGCAGGGACGCAGGTGGGAGAGGTCAGGCTGCCCCCACCAGGCCTCCAGACCCTGCCCCGAACTTGAGGGGCTACCAGGCTGGACAGGGCCTGGGTCGCATCACAAGCCCACCACCCACGCACCCTGGGGCTGGAGCAGCCGCGCACCCACCTGGAGCCCGATGACACACTGGCCCGCCTTCATGGTGGCATCATCAAAGTTCCGCTCCTGCTTTTCCGAGTATTTGACGCCGATGTCCACGCCACTCTGCATCCCCTTTGTCTTGGCCTGGGGGGAAAGAGGGGGTGGAAGTATCAGGGAGGGGCAGCCGGGTCCCCCCAGCCAGGCCCGGGGTGTGTGAGCCCAGGGGAGGCCCAGGTATCTGGCTGCAACCTGCCCCCCATACCAGCAGCCCAACACCTCGGGCTCAGCAGCCCTGTGGCCCCCAGCCTTCCCTCCCTAGGCAATGGCAGCCCCAGCCTTACAGCTGCACAGGCCAAGAATTTTAGGGGGCGTCATCACCTCCTATCTCTCTCACCTTCCATCACCTCCTTCTACCCAGCCCCAGCCACTCGGCCAGGCCACGGCCATCGTCTCTCCCCTGGACGCCTGTCCCCCACTCCTCCCTGGTCTCCCCACCTCACTACCCACGTGGCAATCACAGGGGGCTTCTGAAAGCACCGTTCAGAACACAATTCCCTGACATGAAAACCTCCTCCTCCTGAAACATTGTTCCAGCCCGTCTTGGTCTCTGTTTTAGACCCTAGACATCGGCCTAACGGTTTCTTCTCCTTCAAGGCACTTCTCACGATTTATAATTTGTAAAACAATGATTTGAAGAGCAAACCCTAATGGGAACTCTGGGTGTTAAGGAGATGTCCACGGAGGTTCACTGACTATGTAAAGTAGGGGGGGCTGTGCATGAGTGGGGGCAGGGGGTAGACGGGAAGTCTCTGTACCTTCCACTCTGTTTTGTTGTGAACCTAAAAATGCTCTAACATAAAATTTTTTGTAAATAAAGAAAATGGAGATTTGTTCGTTGTCTGCCCATAAAGGGGTTGACTGTGTCTGCCTTGGTCACCCTTGTATCCAAAGTGCCCGGCG